CCCCCCCCCCCCCCCCCCCCCCCCCCCCCCCATATACCGTCTTGTCATATCTTTCTCTACCTTCTCTTCCTGACATTGTTCATTCTGATTTCGTCTGCGCTGACCGCCTTCCATTCCCCGAAGAATCATCGTTCTTCGTGTACTTTACTAATCTCTTTGTCGTCACTTCTGTCCTTTTGGTCATTTGGTTTTTGGTTTGATCTTCAGGCTCTCTGATCTTCTTGGATCTTGTCAGAATAACTCAGCTTTAACAGCATGTCTAGAATAAGCATGCACGTCTTTCTCAGCCTCTCTCTGTGTCTGCCTCTGCATTTCCCTTCTCATCTATCTGTGCTCATTCAATTAAAAGCAATTGTCAGTGTGCAAAACTTCATTAATTTGAGGGAGATATTTGAGGTAATTGTGTTTGATGCTACAATTTCACAGTCAAAGAGCAGAGAGAAATGGGTGTCCTTGTCACACATAACCCTGCTGTTTTCATGCCACCTTACTAAGAATGATATTTGTCCTCATTTCAAATTGTTTTTAGGTTTCATCTCATCCCAGCAGTATGCACACAATGTGCTCTTCATTTCATCCACACACTGTTGGTTAGGAAGAGTGTAGAGTCCTGGTTTGGAAGTTGGAACATGTATCTGTTATTAATGTGTTTGACCTCTGTTATCTGTTATGTATTTTAAACTGGGTTAAAGCTACAATACATTGATGTTTCATGTAGTCCTGTCTTAAGCTTTAACACACCAGAAAGGGATAGTTAATGGCAACAAATTCAGCTCATTGGATTATCAAGTATGGACGTCGTCTGAGTGTGTGTGTTGCCCTATTCAGACTATTTATACGTGTGTGTGTTGCCTCCAGGCTGCTCCAGAGGACCCAGTCCTCTCACCATGGGGGCTCAGGACACTCTTCCTGTGGCCGCTGCATTCACAGAGACGGTCAACGCCTTCTTTAAAGGAGCTGACCCCAGCAAGTAGGTCAACAAACAGCTTCACACATTCACAACATGTCCTGACATTACTTATGACAGTGGGATTCCCCGACCAGTTTTCATGGCTTTTTTTCCCCATGTGTTGCTGATATAAAGTGTGTGTTCATTCAGTTTATACAGCAGTACTTAAAGGATAACGCTGGAGCTAGTATGCTTAAATTAATCACCTTCTTATTTAACATTTCTAAGAATTCTTTAAACAGTCACATATACAAGTATATTTTAGTGTACTGTGCAGTTAAGTGTTTTATTTAT